TGGGGGGGGGGGGCACTTTCTAGAAGTGACTTCAGTGTTCTGATTCTCTGGCAAAACGCACGGAGTTGAGCAAGAAAGCATCGAATCATAAACCCAAACATGTAAAGGAGAGAGTCTCAGGTATCGAACTATCTGATGAAAGAAACTACATTTGATCAGTCTTTTCAGCTCACAAAGACAAACACGTCTTCGAAAGATTTCACTTTGTTCCCTGAGGAAAAGGATTAGTATGAAAACAGATTTTGTAAATGTGAACAGAGCATATTACTGAGACCAGAAGCAAGCTGACAGCAGCAGGAGGAAATAACTCGTGACTGTTTGGAACCTACACCATAGTAAATTTGCTATTTTTAGTAGAGCGAGAAAGAGAGTGATTTTTGATGCTGGATTTATTTTAATTTTAAAGAGCGACCTAGTAGAATTTCCGTGCGAACGTAGTATCTGGATGTAAGGCCCTTCCTTCCCTAACCCAGGTCGTCCCGATCACCTTATCTGGAGCTGACAGTTTCTGTCTTCTGAAACGTTGTAAGGTGGTTAGGTTAGTCTGTCCCTCCTGGGTCTTCGTTCATTTGACCCGTCTGTTACGGCACGTCCTTGGAGATTTCGTACTTTGCTAAACTGCTGAGGAATTACGTGGTAAAAATCGGAAGAACTTCACTCTAATTCTGGTTTCAAGAAGGCCTTTAACTTGACATAAGCACAGGAAGGTGGCAGTTTAAAAATGCAAGTTTGGTGAGCCAAGCACATTGAAAAGCTCTTTCTTTCTTTCTTTCTCTTCATCGTGAACTTAGCTTGAAAACTTCCGCAACTGTTGTTATGGACGTTAGTGTATTTAGAAGGGTAAACCCTAAAGTTGGCCAGGTCTGTTTACACTGTATCTCTCCTGCAGCCAGACTGTTGATCTCCTCATGCAAGAGTCAGGATGTCGTTTAGAACATCCTTCTGCCACCAAATTCCGAAATCATGTCATGGAAGGAGACTGGGATAAGGTAAAGTAGGGCATATAGAGCTGTGTGACTGCTGCTAAAATTATATATTTGGATGTGCATCCGGTGACATTTCTGTTTTTCTTTTATACCAATTTTTGCAGGCAGAAAATGACCTGAATGAACTAAAGCCCTTAGTGCATTCTCCTCATGCTATTGTGGTAAGAGGCGCACTTGAAATCTCTCAAACGTTGTTGGGAATAATTGTGGTAAATACACTTTTGTTCTTAGTTTCACATTCATGCTTATTTTAGTAGGTTATTGATAATTGTAGGCTTCTGTTACCTATAAAAGATAAAGCCTAAAAATTGTTAAATTTTGCATAGTTAAGTTTGTAAACTGCGATGAGTGTTAATGATTTAAAGTTTTGAGTTTTATGTCTTGAAAATCGTGTTAAATGTCTTTAAAGTCATGTTTAATAGATGTGTCGTTCGAACCTAGTTTATAAATTAAGCTTCTACAGAATTGATCGAGGGGTGTTTGTGCTCTCGGTGCCATTAAGAACAGTTTTATGTGGAATCAAACATAAGTTCTACTTTTCTATTATCTATACTGAACGTACCAGCAAAGGAGCTGCATCCTAAGGATGCAGAGGAGATCTATCCTAAGTAGCTGGTACATTGTCTTTTTTTTCTTTAATCTTTGGGAATAACAGTCCATTCAACCCACCTCCTTCGGTGTGCTCACCATTTTCCATTCTTGCAGTCGTGTGAACTGACAGTGTCTGAGTTGGTCAGTGTATATTGGTCTGGTGGGGGGTTTGTGAGCAGATCTGACCACGGAGCTCGGCTCACAGGCCTTCTTTCCCTGACGAGGTCAACTTAGTAGTTAAACTGGTTAGCCTCTCTGCTCAGTCTTCAGGAATCTTTTTACACTGAGAGGACCTTAATTCTTCTGTAGATGTCGGTGAGGGAGAGGAGGGGATAAGATGTTCTGAGTGCCTGTGATTGGAAACCATGGAGAATCAGCTGCAGGCTCCTGGCCTTTTAACTTCTAGCTGATTCATTTGTTGTCAGAAGCAGTTTCCTGTCTGGTGGGGGAGGGAAGGAGCACCAATAGGAAGTGAAGTAGGGAAACCAGCTGTTTGTTAAATATTAGTAAGTGACTACTGTTACCTTTGGTTGTTGTTTTTTTGTTGTTGTTTTTTTTGAATTAGGCCAAACATTAATCTTTCTGCTTTTGTCTGTAAACCTGACAGGGTCTCTTATTTTTGTTTTTGGCGTGTGTGTATGTGAATCTTAATTACAAAAGAGTTTTCAAATTCATGATATGATTTTATACAATAATATATAATCCTAGGGAATAGACTTAAGGCGAATTAAAGGTACAAAGTATGAACAAATGTGGATTAGTTTAAATTGATGATCTAGTATACATGTTTTTGCTCTCAGTAAATACTTAAATATTAAAATTTTTACTTTTGAATCAGATGATTGATAATAAAATAACTCGTGAAATAATCAGTTCCCTGTCAAATATTAAAAATGAAAACAGAAGTTAAACATCTATATTTAAGAGGGTTATAAATTTTCCAGCAGTTGTAAGTTTCCCCCAGTCATTATGTTTGGGTTTTATCACAAACAAACAAACAAAACAACCAAGTATATTTTAATGGAGCAGTTTCTCATAAGCGATTAGCTCTGGCAGAATGGAAGATAACCCTGAAATAAAGACAAAAAATATAAGTGTGTGAGTTTTGGGGAGATTGTTTCCCTTTGGTAAGCTTTGCTTCAAATTACATTTGTAATTTAGTAGTGAAATTTTAATAGGCTCACTTCCTATTTTTTTCTTATAGAAATGTGGGGCTTGTGTCTTGGATTTAGGGTATGACTGTCTCATTTGAAATCTTCATTAGAAGCAACATGTAAACTCAGGAAAGGTAGTTGCAGATAATGAGGAGGAATCCTTTCTTTTTACAGCCTGTTCAGTCTGTAGAACGTTCTAGGATCTAATAAAAGATGAAGCTTAAATCTCTGGCTGAGCCTCACGCCATCAAACTTTTTAGGTATTTATACGAAGAGAAAGGTTCCAGGTTTAAGATCCAGTTCAGCATTTTATCACCCTTCGAGTCTGTGTTCAGATTTGCTCCTCTCCCCACTCGATCTCCAGAAAGATCATCTAATCCAAGCGTAGTTGTAATAATGCCATGGAACACAACATGGAGCTTTCTTTTAGCGTCATTATTCTTACTGTATGCCCAGACACATTTGATGGCTTAGTCTAGGCTAAAATTGTATTTTACTTTTTAAACTTTTCTTTCAAATTTATTTATGTTGCGAGAGAGAGAGAGAGAGAGCGAGAGAGAGAGAGTAAGAGCATGTGGGAGGGGGAGAGAGAATCCCAAGCAGGCTCTGTGCAGAGCCCGACTTGGGGCTCAAACCCACAAAACCATGAGATCATGACCTGAGCCGAAATCAAGAGTCCGGCGCTTAACCCAACTGAGCCACCCAGGCGCCCCTATATTTTATTTTTTAAACTCAGATACTTTTATTCACCCAATCTACTCCCTGCCCGCCTGCCCCCCCCAATACCATATTTTTAAATGCTTTCCAGTCAGATGATACCAGAAATAGCAGAATTTGCTCTGGACTTTCTGGAAAGTGAGCTCGTGAATCAACATTTTTCATTTTGGGTTCAAATATGGTTTGACACGTTTGGGGAGTTTGGGTTGGTAGTAGAGGCCAGTAGAATAGGAAACTAGGTCTAAAAGTTTTATGTATTTTTTTTTTTAATTTTTTTTTTAAACGTTTTTATTTATTTTTGAGACAGAGAGAGACAGAGCATGAACGGGGGAGGGTCACAGAGAGAGGGAGACACAGAACCTGAAACAGGCTCCAGGCTCTGAGCTGTCAGCACAGAGCCTGACGCGGGGCCCGAACTCACGGACCGTGATATCGTGACCTGGCTGAAGTCGGACGCTCAACCGACTGCGCCACCCAGGCGCCCCTAAAAGTTTTATGTATTTTTTAGTGTATAGAAATGTGTTTAAGAATAGTGTTCAAATGCTAATTGGAGGGACAGAGATTAACTAGTGTATTTAGAAGTTAAATAGGGAGGGGTTTTGAAAGCCATGGTTTAAATAGAATTCATTTCCCCTTTCCTCTGAGTCATGGTTTAATTGCTACGACTTGGTTATAACCTTATTCCAGAGTTAGTGAGAGGCACTCCTGAGTTAGCTAGGAGGCTGCCCGGGATAGCCAGACTTCCTGTGCAACTTCGGGGTTTTCCTTCCCGTTGAATGGTGGGAGGAAAGAGTGAAGCAGCCCCGATACTGGGTGGGCCGGGGGGGGGGGGGGGGGGACAGGGACAGGGTTTACCACGTGGAGCTGTCCCTTATCCATTTCTTGCGTTAGATGGTAGGAGGGACAGAGACTCCCTGGGCGGAAGGGCTCTGAGAGATGATCAGAGGACAGAAATAATCTCTCACAGAGGTCCCGCTAGGAGCTGGGAGAAGACAGAAAGGGGAGCCTGTTTTCTTCGTCTCTTTCTTTCTTCATTTGAGAAGCTTGTGCTCTTAAAGCAAAAAAAAGTTAATAACGCTCCGTCCCCAGCTCAGCAAACTTTACTTTTGCCCAATTTTTTAAAACTTTTTTGGTAAATAATTAACATCATTTATGAACGATGTTAATTTTCTCGAACTTGTGTTCACAGTTTTGGGAAGTGAATTACAGTTGTACTCTTCATCTTTCTCATACATGTCAAATACAAACCGAACTGATTTTTAGGAGAATAAATATTTCCTCTTCCAACCAAATCGCTCGCTGTGCTTGGCCAGCGGTGTGTCACTCGCCATGCCCGCCACCAGGGTTTGGTGCCCCTGCGAGGGTATTCTTTGTCTCAATCCGGATAGAAGGCCTCCTCGGGTAGTCTGTGCACTGCCTGTCTGGTGTGCCCCGTATGTACAGGGAATGCGTGTTCACATCGGCTTCTCCGACCACGTCCTCTGCCTGTGTCCTGTGCTGCCTCTGCCCCTTAGGAAGAGAGTAACATCGTATCGCAGGCTCTTGGTGGCAAGATAAAGGGGAAACCCCACTTGGGGCACTGTCCCTACCTACACTGAGCGGGGGTGTGCCTGGAACCTAATGATAGATACCCAGAAAATAAAGATTCGCCCTGAGTGCTAAAAAGTAATTTTCTCCAAGTTTCCAATTGCTGAGAAAATTTATTGAAGAAATCAAGTACACATATTATTGGCCAGTTCCATGTGGCATTTAAATGAAAAATTTTGCCGCTAAACAGGATTCTCAAGTTTAATTAGAAACACTACGTGAAATGAAACTTGTAACAGCCGATCGATAAATGGAAATCTACATTTCATAGAGGTTTTTTTTTTTTTTCTTCAGAAGATAAAATGGTGAGAATATCCAGGATAACTTCAAATATAAAATTATTTTGTTTTTAAGTTGTTCTTTTGGTTTTTGTCACCTGATGGACTTCAAAGTATTTTTTTATTTGACACACAGAGGTTAGTTTTTGGCTCCATGAACAACACGCTTTGCAGGGCGTCTTGGTCCTGGTCTGTCTCTGAAGCATTCAGTAGGCAGTCTGACTTTTAAGTGTAAAATTGGGTAAGGGTAAATTCTAGAGTTGTAGGAGCTCATGTTACAGTTTGAAATTTTTTTCATCGTTCTTCAGTTACAGGTTGAAGTTTTAGATGATCACCAAATATATGCAGTATGTCTTATAAACAGTGTGTCTAAATGTAGGCCTAAGTGACAGGGTTTGTTTCGTTTACTTTTGCTAGAAACCATTTTTCTAAGATTGTACGTATGCCTTTTTTCTGAATACTGCCTAATAGAAAACCGTGTAGGGGCGCCTATGGGTCAGTTGGTTAAGCGTCCGACTTCGGCTCAGGTCATGATCTCATGGTTCATGGGTTAGAGCCCCGTGTCAGGCTCTGTGCTGACAGCTTGGAGCCTGGAGCCTGGAGCCTGGAACCTGCTTGGATTCTGTGTCTCCCTCTCTTTCTGCCCCTCCCCTGCTTTGTGTCTCAAAAAAATAAATAAACGTTAAAAAAATTTTTTTTAATGTAGGGAGGCTCATGGTACCCTTAACTCTGTGAAGAAATAATTTCACCACACCATTTTTGGATAGCAATATATAAATAATGTTTTCACAGTAAGCCTCTTACTGAAGAAGAAGAAACTATCGTTTGGTTTTTTTCTTTTAAGTAGATTTAAAATCTTTGCCACCAAGTTCCTTGGGGTCTCGAATATGACTGACGTTTTCTGCACCTGTGGCATGCTCAGGCGCCACAGGCAGAAGTGACAAGAGAGCCCCTGTAAGCAGGGGTCTTCGATTGTAAAAGATTCTCACCTGGCTGCTCATAAGTATCTCTTTTCCAGCTAATAATAGAGTAAAGGGACATTAAAAAGAATTAGAACCAAACTCATTCCAGAAAAAACTAAATGTGAAAGTGCTTCATAAAGCTGGAAGTGGTTTGTCATTTTGGGGGCAAAGAGCTGATAATTGTCTGCCTCCCAGTTCAGGGCTTCAAGAGCTCTGGTTGTTACCAGTCCCCAAATACGAAACTGGAATCCTTCTGCAGACTTTTCAGGTTAGCTTTTTTTCTTTTTTTTTTTTAAGTTTATTTACTTTGAGAGAAAGAGAACACGTGAGGGGCAGAAAGAGAGGGAGAAGGAATCCCAAGCAGGCTCCGCACTCCGTGCAGAGCCCAACTCAGGGTTCGAACTCACGAACTCCGAGCTCATGACCTGAGCTGAAAGCAAGAGTCGTGTGCTTAACCGACTGAGCCACCCGGGCGCCCCTGCATTGTACTTTTTAAATGATTCCTCTGAGAACCAGTTTTTCTGTCCTTTCCAAACTTGTTGCATAAAACCCCCTAATGCAATTATAAAAGTCAGGTGTTTAAAACAAATTTAGAATACTTGGAATAGTTCTGAATTTTCACAAAAGAAATAAAAGTCTAGGTGAATGTTTTAAGGGCAGAGTTCGTGTTTCCCTGTGTTGATGCGATGGTCACTAATGGCCTTACCTGATCTGCGATTGTGCGTTGAAAGCAGAGTTTTATTAAGATGTGGAATTGCGCAGTCACATTTCATCTGCTGTGACTCTGTTAACCCGAAATGTTTGAGTCATCGTAAAGCTTTATGAAAAGTTATTTTCAAAGGGCATAGTAGAATGCTTTCTACTGTTCTGTTTAGGCACAAACATTTTCTGAAACTTCCATCAACTTTTTTCCCCTGACTGCTGCTTTCTGTCATGTCAGAGGATGAAGTTTTTGCTGCTGCAGCAGAAGTACCTGGAGTACCTGGAGGACGGCAAGGTCCTGGAGGCACTTCAAGTTCTGCGCTGCGAGTTGACGCCACTGAAATACAACACGGAGCGCATCCATGTTCTCAGCGGGTAAGGAGGCCCGGCCCGAGCCAGGCCGATGAAGGGGCCGCTAGGGCCAGCAGGGGGCCGCTCCCGAGTCCCTCTTCTTAACGGCGTGCCCGCATCTGAAGATGGCTGAACTCTTGGACCGTGTTCGTCTGGATAAACTCACTCACGTGTCCAAGCTGTCGTTGTCCTCAGGGGAGGCTCTGGGATCAGCCGCGCAAGAGGGTGAAAAAAGAAGCGCGTGTTGCCATTTCGTGGTCATGCAGGAAAGCCCTGCGGCACGACTGTCTGTGAACACAGTAGGCAGCGAGGCTTCCGGTGCGAAGCATCAGACATCTCTGTTACCGTGTACCCGTCGCGTCCCGGGCCCTTGCCAGGCGCCCCACTTGAGCCTCGCGTCAGTCGTGTACGTGTCGGGGGGGCCGTGGGGCTTGGATCTGGCCCCCCTTCTGTTCGCGCACACGCTCTGGGCCGCACCTTCAGGTGCCTTCTGTGCACGAGGCTCCCGCTTCCCCGCGCGTGTCTCTGGCCTGCCTGACGTCTTCGGGGTGTCTCCAGGGTGTGTCCGGTGAATGCTCACAGCAGAGTTCTCCAATCCGCTTGCCCCCTCCCCCCACCCCCGCTCTCACTTTCTTGCCCCTGTAAACGGTAAGACCTTCTACCCACTCGTCCGAACAAAGCCCAAGGTTCATCCTTGCAGGTGTTTAACCCTTTCACTCTGCTGTGTGTCGGCCTAACTCTGAAACGTACCAGATCTGTCCAGTTCTCTCCGTCTCCACCATTTCTACCCTAGTTAGTCCACACCAGCTCTCCTAGAATATTCCCGTACCCTCCTCATGAGTCCCACTGTATGTGTTCTTGCTCCTCTAATGGCGCACGGTTCACGCAGCAGCCGGCTGGATACAGAAGTAAAACCGTACATTAAGTCATTTCTTTCCCTGTCTTAAAATCCAGAATCTCTGCTTAAGCCCACATGCTTGCTGGTCCTTCCCTGCCGTCTTTTCCTTGATCCATTCGCTCCAGTGACACGAATGTTTTTTCTGTTCCTTAACTTGCCAGGCCACTTACACTGTCTGTTCCCTTTATCTTAGATGCTCTTCCCCTGATCTTTTCGGAGGAGCTACTAGTTGCTAGGGTCCCAGCCCAAATATCCTCTCCTAAAACCACCCCCCAGGCGTTCTCTGTCACATCGCTGTGCTTCATGTTTTTCTTCATAGCAGTTTTTATTATAGGACAGGGCCCCAGCATCCAGGACAGCATTGACAGATGATGAGTTTCCAGATACAAAATTGTGGGTAAAAACGATGGATCCAGAGAGGTATAGGGTTCATTTTAGGGTTTTTGAGGAAAAGGAAACAACGTCAGAGAAGCGACGTAGCCAGTCCAGGATACAGCTAACACACCACCAAGAGCCGAGACCCAGACTCCGGCTTGACTGATTCTAGAGTCGCCGGTCCACACCCGCTGCCTCTTGAGATGGTGCTGCTGCTGGATGTCCTACAGTAGCTGACCGCTTCCTTCCTTCTGTTTACCTCTCCGATAGGGGGTCTGGTTTCTGTGTCAGCTGAAGAACTTTCCCATGACGAGGTTTGTCTTGTCTGGTCACAGAACACGTAACTTTATCACATAGCCTTTATTCCAGAATGATCTTCATCCAGTGTGTCCCTTGAGTGTTTCACATAAGGAAATGGCCCAGAGATAGCCAGGTGTGGACTTGGCGTTCAGACCCATGGTTTCTTCCTCTCACCCTCTCCTTCCTTTCAGTTACACTCTGTGGTTTCCCATAAACAGGTTCATTTGAAACCTTAAAGTATAATGTGTATTTTCTTTTAATTTTTTTATTTTAGAGAGCAAGTCGGGGAGGGGCAGAGAGACTCCCGAGGGGGCTCCACACTGTCAGCGCAGAGCCCAATGCAAGGCTCGAACTCAGGAACTGTCAGATCATGACCTGAGTCAAAATCAAGTCGGACACTTAACCGACTGAGCCTCCCAGCAAAGTAAACAATTTTTCCATAAAATTATCGATGATAAATTTTACTCCCAAAAATTTATTTTAGAAACCAAAATTTTTATGATATCTGGCTTTTTTTTATAGGGTATTTTGAGTCAAACTACTCATGCTATTAAAGTAGCTAAGACACTGTATGCTAAATGGCAAGAGAGCGAGTAGGTCTGCTCCTGAGGATGAAGGGCCTAAGTTACTGGCTGCTAAGTACAGTTCAGAAGGAGAGGGGGCGGCACTCCTGTTAACTGGGAGGTCTCGGGTGTTTCTCTCATCATTTAGGAAGCTCTACCTTCATACCAAGTAGTGGACTGAGTACTTCAAGTACTCCCTCTTATTTAATCCTTACTTCCCTATTTAGTGCCCTTTTTCCAAGTGAGAGGAACAGGTCTGAGAGCATCGTCCCAGAGTAAAAGCAGGAGGAGGGTCCTTCGCTAGGTCTGGTCACTGTGTCCGAACCGTGCCTCCGCTTCCCTGACTTTCAAAGCCCGTTCTCGTGAGAGGAGCCAGAGGCAGGTCAGGGTTCCACTTCCGCGGGGCCCTCCTGTGTTCTCCAGAATCCGTGACTTGAGCGTTCACACCTCCTTTGGCGCACATAGTGAGCCAGGAAACGGTTCCCAGGTTTCCTGCTTTGGGGGATCACGATACCTTTCACGGGATGACGCAAGGGTGATTATCCAGTCGTTCCGCTTCTTGAGTGACGTCTGTGATCAGCTCTTGAAAGCGTGTTGTTGTTTAATTAACATCGTGTAAACTGAAGGGGTTTTTTGGAGTTTTGTTTTACAACTGAGGAGCAGCTGAGTTAGCGTAGTATTTAAGAGCAACATTTGCAGCTAAAAATGCCTGGGTTCACATCCCCTTCGTTTTTGCCTCTTACCTAAGCCAGTTCCCGAAGCTTTTCTGTGCCTTCCGTGCTTCGTCTGTACGAAGCGCTTGCTTCATGCGGACTGTGGCGGGGTCGCGGCGGGCGTTAAAGCAAGTAGCGCGTGGAGCGCCTGGAGCAGAGCCGGGCGCACAGGGAGAGCTGCCCGTGTGCCCTGGTGGATTGTAATCTGCCAGTGGATGACACCATCGTAACAGTTACCACACATGCTGCTGTCGTACTGTATTACGTTGTAGTAATTCTGTCCAGGTGCCAAGTTGTATTAGTGAATTGGGTCCACTGAAGAGATTTCTTCTTGATGAGTTTTTCTTAGTGAAAATATAATCAATATTTTCCAGTTATGTTTAATCCGAAGCAAAGGGTTTGGTACTCACTGCTTTCTCTCTGTCGCATTTTTAGCTATCTGATGTGCAGCCATGCGGAAGACCTCCGGGCAAAAGCAGAATGGGAGGGCAAAGGAACGGCTTCCCGATCCAAACTGTTGGACAAACTTCAGAGTAAGAAGAGTCTTCATTTTTGGTTTCTGTGTTTTCGCTTATGTTAGAAATAGATACTGAGAATCGATTAGGTAGCCTTGTGTCTAGACATACTCTTAGTGAGCGGTGAGCGGTAATGTAGGGAAGAAGGGAAAATCCATCACGAAGCCCTTTAAACCAGAGGTTTCCAGACGGGGCCCTGGAGTCTGGGAGGTAGCTCACATCCTCAGGAGCCGTGGCGGGTGTGCGGCGCGGGTCCCAGAGCAGCTCTCCTCGCACCTGTGTTGCGCAGTCACGTGCCCGTTAAGATTTTCTTTGTGGGGGAAGTGCTGGGGTTCGAGAAAAAGGACATAAACCAGACCTTTAAATAACTGTTTTTCCTTTTTAAAGACTTTATTGTACTTTTTTTTTTTTTTTTTTAAGTAAGTTCTACACCCAGCGTAGGGCTTGAACTCACGACCCCAAGATCAAGGGTCACGCGCTCCACCGACTAAGCCAGCCAGGAGCCACCAAACTACAAGTGTTTTAAATATTTTGTTGATTTCAATAGGAAGGCCCATATTTAATTGTTTTCCTCAGTGTTATAGGTAACTTCCAAATTAGCAGAAGGGTTTTATTTTTGCCACAGTTTTATACATAAACGATCTTTTTGCCCTCTTGGATTTTAAATCACTTTACTCTGTGTGTTGCACGTTGAGGTGCAGGAGTAAACATCCTAGAAATCGGGAAACCGTGTGGTCCGGGAGGTGTGAGGCACGGAACGATTGGAATAGATTGGTGTCTGCATCAAAACACCAGTCCCCCTCCGTCTCTAGATTTCTAGATTTCCCTGCACGTGCGGTGACACTTAGTTCCCTCGGGCGCGTGGTCGTCTGTACATTTTCTTTCCATCACTGCCTTTTAGGGGGAGGGGGGTTGTTGGTGGTGGGTTTGTTTTTTGTTGTTGTTTTGCTTTTGCTTTTGTTTAGTTTTGGAAATTCACATACAAGTGAAAGCCCTCCTGGGGCACCTGGCCGGCTCAGTCAGGGAGCATGTGACCTCGACCTCGGGATCAAGGGTTTGAGCCCTCCTTTGGGCGTGGAGCCTAACTTAATAAATGAATAAAGTTTTTAAAAATTGTTTAAAAAAAAAATACAAGTTAAAGCCTTCCCGTCTGTCCCATTTTGCGGCAGCGCCCCTGTAGCCGCTGACAAATACTGATGAAGCCCACATTCTGTCGCACCGCCCGCCACTGCTCTGTTCAGGGGGCCTGAATTATCGGGTCAGGGCCAGTGCAGCAGAGAGCGAGCAAACGTCTTCAATAAAAGGTTATACTGCCTTGGTGTTTTAACATTTACTTTTATTTCTTGTTTTAAAAATATCTTCTCCTGAAGCCTACTTACCGCCATCGGTGATGCTTCCCCCTCGGCGTTTACAGACTCTCCTGCGGCAGGCGGTGGAGCTACAAAGGGATCGGTGCCTATATCACAATACCAAACTTGATAATAACCTAGATTCTGTGTCTCTGCTCATAGATCACGTTTGCAGTAGGTAAGAGAACAACTTCTTATGTTCTGAAGTAGGCTAACATCTTACAGACTCAGTACAAACTTTGTTAAAATGTTTTCTTTTTTGGAGTTTTGTCCTGTCGCGGTGAAACCATTTGTCTCTGGTACCGCGTTCATGTTCACGAGTGGAGCTGGGATTACCGAGGCTGACGTTTCCAGAGAAACGTGAAGGTGTTTATGTAGTGACCCTCAGCTGGAGAGCGTGCTTTCCTCCTCTTGTCTGTGGGCGGGTTGCTGATCTTCGGTGTCCAGCCCTCCCGGTGAGGGCTTCTGAGTGGTGTCGGGTGGGGAGGCCACTGACCCAAGTGTTGGCCATCCTTGGAGGCCGGGACTCTCTTTCTGGATGCTGTCGCTATTTTAACAGTGGCCCCAATTATTTCCTGCCCATAAAGATCATGGAAATACTTTGTTCCTAACGGTAGGTCTGCTTTTTAGTAGAACCTGGCCCCTGAACTAAACATGGTTGGAGTAACAGGTGTTAACTTTCTGGTTTGGGTTTGTTGCTGTATCTGTCCAAATACGTAATTTAACCTGTAGGGATTGAGCCTCCACTTTGGATATTAGGAGTATTTTGACTGAAACTGTCTCTACTATTTTAATGATGATTTCCAAATTAAAGCAGAGCTCGGGGCGCGTGGGTGGCTACGTCAGTTAAGCGTCCGACTTCGGCTCAGGTCATGATCTCGCGGTTTGTGAGTTTGAGCCCTGCATCGGGCTCTGTGCTGACAGCTCAGAGCCTGGAGCCTGCTTCAGATTCTGTGTCTCCCCCTCTCTCTGCCCTTCCCATGCTCATGCTCTGTCTCTGTCTCTCAATAATAAATGTTAAAAAAAAAAAAAAAAAATTAAATTAAATTAATTAGAGCTGAGCTCTAATTTTTAAGACACTGAAGAACAGGGGCATCTGGGGGCTCAGTTGTGTAAGGCATCCACCTCCTGATCTCAGCTCAGGTCATGATCTCCCGGTTCGTGGGTTTAAGCCCCGCATTGGGCTCTGTCGCTGACCATGCAGATCCTGCTTGGGACTCTCCCTCTCTGCCCCTCCCCAACTCGCACACGTGTATTCTCTCTCTCTTTCTCTCTCTCAGTAAATAAGGTGCTAAAGAACGAATCTGGAAATATTTCAGGCTTCAGGAGGGAGACGATCTGGGTCTGGTGAACCAAACACGAACAGCTGTGCTGTGCGTGCCCAGTTTGTTTTGCCAAAGGCCCCTGCAGAAGCCCCGGTGTGGGCAGGTGGGGCCAGAGTGCGGATGGCGACGGGCTTTGGGTCCAGGAACCCGAACGTTGGTGCGCGTGGTCCAGGCATGCACAGAGCGCTTTGTGTGTGGCTCGGTGTTGCCTCCCCTCCCCAGATGCAGTAGAAACAGGAGGCTGACGGTTGGCCTTCACCTAGCGGATAATGACTTGGTGTGTGTCTTAAACTTGCTGAAAGTGATGGATTAGAGTCCTTTTCTTTTTTCCTGTTTTACTGTTTAATGTTGTTCTTTAACTTCGAATTTCTAAATCTTTCAAATGAAAAGAGGTAGGAGATTATAGTTAAAAAGCGACATGGTTTCATCCTTCGCAGATCCTGTGGGGAATGTGAGACCAGTGTTAAAACTAAGGCAGTTGTGGGGCGCCTGGGTGGCGCAGTCGGTTAAGCGTCCGACTTCAGCCAGGTCACGATCTCGCGCTCCGTGAGTTCGAGCCCCGTGTCAGGCTCTGGGCTGATGGCTCAGAGCCTGGAGCCTGTTTCCGATTCTGTGTCTCCGTCTCTCTCTGCCCCTCCCCCGTTCATGCTCTGTCTCTCTCTGTCCCCCAAAAAATAAATAAAAAGTTGAAAAAAAAAAAACAAACTAAGGCAGTTGTGAAGCCAGGCCTTTCTAAGATTTAATTTATTGCTGAATATTGCATGAAATTGTTGCTGGCAGAATGCTATTTGCAGTGGCCTTTATGGTTTAAGAGGTGTCAGTGGGTGAAGGGCTTGCCTTCCTGTGCGGAAACTCAAATCTATGAGCACGGGACCTGCGTTTTTCTTAATGTCTGTAGTAGGACCTGTGAAAGTAAATGATGGAAAATGTTTAGTCTGACTTTGTCTTGCCCTCAGATCGGGGATCAGGCTCTTAGAACCTGCGTAGAAAGCACTCCTGAAGTTTTACGTGGGAGTGAAAGTTCATGCTTTTCAGAACTCACCGTCGATTGGAAGGTCTCCCCTGTAGTCTTTTAAAATCAAAATAAAACTTTGACTCTGTGCTTCTACTGCTTACCATTGTGCACGCCACACGCACACACACCTGCCTCAGAGTCTGCTGCTTAAGATAATTCCCTGCTGTGCAGTCACACTGTCTGTGTCCTTCGCTCTTCAGATTTCTGCAGCCAGCACAGCTCCGTAACTGTTGCAGATGTTGGTGACGAACAGTTTCTTTTTTAAACCCAATGACTGCTTTGCAGACTCTTCGGTTTCACTGCTGGCTGCCGCTCGTTACCTGTGCTTTATTAACTGTGTTCCAGACAGTTTCTTTTGTCATCCCGCCTTCCTCCTCTGGGTTCTAACGGTGCCCGGGTCCAGGCAAGGGCTGCAGAATTCATCTCCTAAGCCTTGGACCTTAATACAATTGTGCTTGTTGCTCGAGTATCTTAAATGCAGCACGTCCAAAGTGGACTTCCCTCTCCTCTTCCTGTCCCTGAAGAGTCTACTCTTCCTCTTAACTTCCCTGTCTCAGTGAAGGGCTCCCGTCTGCCCAGATTCTCCCAGCCAGAACACTGGGAGTCAGCCTAGAGGGACATTTAGGGGTGCGTTTGAACGGCACCGGGGAGGGATGCGTCAGGCATAACGTTATGTTGGGATACACGTCTTTACGGTGAGCTGTTCCTTTGTTGCTGAACTAGGAGAGGAAAACCTGGATTTGATTTAATTCCTACTATTCCCCTCTCATCTAGAGGTCTTCAAATGAAATTTTGCTGTCTTTTATTACCTACTCTACTCCCTTGGGGAAATAAGATTAGCATTGGAACTAGAAAACTGTATTCTCATAAATTAAATCTTAGCATTGAAATCTAAATACCAGCTTTTCTTTCTTCTCTCTGGAGGACAGAGAATTGATTATGAATAAGTAAACGGGAACTTGTAGAAATCTTAATCAGCACTGAAGAGTTTTCTTTAGATCATGTATTATTTGTATCTGTGACAGTGAATGCATATTTTTGGTTAAATTGGTGGGGTTTTTCACCAGCATCCAGTGGAAGGATGTTTCCATAGATAACTTTGTAAGTATTGAGTTTTTAGTAAAAGATAATTATGAAATATTTATAGAAACTTAAAATGTGAAGATTCAGTTTGATTAAAATGCTATACTATTCACTTTTATTTGGGAAGGTGCTATTTTTAACACCGTCTTAAATTTCTTTTTTAAATTTTTTGAACATTTATTTATTTTTTGAGAGACAGAGTGAGCAGGGTGGGGGCAGAGAGAGAGCGACACAGAATCCCAAGCAGGCTCCAGGCTCCGAGCTGTCAGC